TGCACTTCCCTGTTTCCCCTTAGTCTAAGTTTGCACTGCCCCGTTTCCCCTTAGTCTAAGTCTACACTGCCTCGTTTTCCTTGAGCCTAAGATTGCACTGTCCTGTTTCTCCAGAGTCTAAGTCTGCACTTCCCCGTTTCCCCTTAGTCTAAGTTTGCAGTGTCCTGTTTCCCCTGAGTCTAAGTCTGCAGTGTCCTGTTTCCTCTGAGTCTAAGTCTGTACTGCTCTGTTTTCACTGAGTCTAAGTCTGCACTGCCTGGCGCAAGATGCGATAGCAACGACAAAAATGAGGACGTTACTCCGATTGTGAATAATTTAAATACTTACCAGTCACATTCACCTTTGTGTAACTTGCCTGTTTTTCAGAGTCAAAATAAGTGAATTTTTAGTAATATATGTTGAACTCACTCCTTCCACAGAACAAGATATTTAACAATCCCGAAAATTGACAAAATCTAAAGAAGGATCTGTAATATAATCGATCCTGACTTGGCATCTCAACTTCAGTCACTTTCTCAACGATGAGACGTAGCTTCCCTCTGTTTCTTTTTTCTACAAATATTTTCATGGCAACTCTTATGACGAGCTTTTTATCCTGGTGCCCCGGCTACATGAATTTAAGCGAGCTACTTGTTTGGCATCTCGGTCCCATCCTTTTGCTGTTGAAATACCTAAACGTAATCACCACTCGCACTTCCAGCCTGTGAAAATCTCTTCCATTTAATTGCTTCCCTGATAACTACAATCTTCAAAAATTTATATCCAACGTCAATCGTCATCTTCTATCTTCTTCAATGTCATTTCTTCAATCTACCGTATTCTCAGTCTTCTCTTTCACCTTCACCTCCTGCTGCCCTCTCTGTACTGCTTTGCTTCCGATGAAATTATAAAATAAAATAAAATAAAATAAAAACAAACAAAAAAAAAAAAACAACAAAAAAAACATGAGAGCGTTTGGCACTTCAACTTGGGGTAATAGTTAGCAAGGTTGTCTTGCTCGATCAATTACGACTGAATAGTGAGTTCGATCCTCACTGAGTGCTCCACATTTTCGGCCTTGTGTCATATCTAAGCTATGCTTTAAAAACACTATACAATTAAGGCATGTGTCTCTTTTACAATGTAGCGTTGAAATTCTTAAGTCTTAAAATTAATGTCTGTACTCGGATGGTGGAACTGTATGATTATCCTGTTTCAGGTTGTGGGATTCTTTTGAGTATCCCTTCTTTCGTAATTAGAGTCACCCAGATGGTACTTATCACTGTGCTAGATCTACTGAAGATGTTGTCAGTACTTAACACGAGCTGATACTTTTAGTTTTCTTATTCTTCACTATTGTTCTCTGCCTATTATCTTGACTTCATTCTACAGGTGTTGACGACCACCATTCCCATGTATATAAGATCAGCTATGCATGATTTCAATGTCTCTTTTGGTATTCTTCTACTCTTACTTTTAGAGGACGGCTGATTTCTGCTTTGTATTCATTGCCACAACTGCATGGGATGGAATGTGCAGTTCTTGATCCTGATTTCTTTGTTCTACTGTTTTTCAAGGGGGAAAAACATTCTGAGATATCTCTCCCGTTTCAGCCTCACTTTCTCGAAAGATGGCTGAAAGAATCGGCGAAGATGTTTGTTGCTGACAACCTCTACAGTCGACCTAGCAGAGAGGTGAATGCCATCGTCGGGGAGCCTATGATTAAGAAAAAGATGTCCTCAACCGAGTCGGTCACTCATAGAGTTCAACCACCCGAGTCAGGACATTCATATCGCCCCATCATCTTAGTACATAGATCAGGTTTTTAGGTTCGAGAATTTCAACACTGGATTGTGCGAGTGATTTATAGCGTTGGTTATAACATCTGGTTTCCTGGGATTTCGGTTTCTGGGTTTCGTAGAGTTGAAGGTTCACATGCTCTGGTTCAGTGAAATCTTATCATTTTCCCTCTTTTAATGTTAATAGTAAACACACAAATATACAAAAATCAGATCATTATTATCGGAGTGAGAGCGAACGGAACTCTTAAACTATTATTATTATTATTATTATTAAATTAAATTCACTCTGTTTGCTCCTCTCTCACTAAATTCATATATAAGTTTATGTCGTAGATATCCAAGGACATTTAACAGTATTGCGCTAGAAAAAAAAAACCCTGAAAACGATGAGCTGCTTTTGCATAGCGTGAAACAGCAATCAGTATTATTATAAGGCAAATTAATGCTTGCCAGATAATTGTCTTTGTTAGTTTATGTTAATGTAAAACGTCATGTTAAATTTCTTATTAGGATAAGCGTTATTTTAGTGGGGACACGTGTTTGAATTACCCTCCTTGTTTTTTTTTTTATTTTATTAGACGGTTTAATTAAAACCAATCCATTGAAAATAACGTTTACAGTAATAACAAATATTATCAGATAAAAATCCTTTCATAAAAAATATAATACATATATCATAATTAAGTAATTCATCAACTCAAGCAGAAACTCAGCAGAATGTACTAGACGGCGGTTTCATCCTAAATTTGGGACTCATCAGCAGTGCGCATCCAGTACTGAGATACGAATCCAGGCCGTTACGATACAACACAAGCGTCATACCAACTGTACCAACAGGCTTCAGTGACGAAGATTTAGTGAATTAGACTCCATATAGCGCCACTCTTCACAAATTCCGTGGTGTAACTCATATATATATATATATATATATATATATATATATATATATATATATATATATATATATATATATATATATATAAAAATACACGTACATATATATATATATATGTATATATGTATATATTTGCTCATACACATACACCTATATATATATATATATATATATATATATATATATATATAACAACATAGAAATCAACACTTAGAGGCGACAGTCTGTTTCATGCTCGATGTAATTGTCAGGCCATATATATATATATATATATATATATATATATATATATATATATATATATAAAAACTGACACATATATATATTATTATATGTATGCATTTTACGTAAATAAAAATATATCCATTCTATACACACACACCTTCATACACAAACACGCACACACACGCACACACACATATATATATATATATAATACACCACATATATGTAATTAAATTCTGTATCTCCGGGGTACCAAAAATTAGAAACACCATTCCCCCCCACCCCTTGTAGACTCTACAGGATGAAGGAAGTGTAATGTAAAAGGTAAGAAGCGTTGCAGAAGTAGCAGTGTAGTTGTGACAGTGTTGTTGTGGAAGCCATGGGATGCGGACAATATTTAACTCCATTTGAGCGCGGAATGATTGGAACAGAGAGACGAGTCCATTTATTTCCAAGTTAATAACTTGTAAAGGTTTTACTCGCTGAACAATAGAGCGAGGACATGTGTTGAATTCCGGAGTGATACCAGCAACACGTGACAATTGTAATGTAAGGAAAATGGCTAATGGTAACGATGGGGAGGGGTACTGCATGTGATAACATCCCAGTTCAACAATGGTGATGCTCAACCCCCTCAGTTAACACACTGCACAGCCTACACTAGATTCCACGGAGGTTCGTAGTCATCGACCAACAAGGCTACCATTATTAGCTCTTTAGCAATTGCTATGTTCTTAATTAGCCCCGTCTTTCCGAGACACTGCTATGAACGCCAAACTCGTCTGGTCGAGGGCTGATACGGACGCCTTCTCGTCTTTCCGAGACTCTGATATGGACGCCAAACTCGTCTGACCGAGACGCTGATATGGACGCCAAACTCGTCTGACCGAGACGCTGATATGGACGCCAAACTCGTCTGACCGAGACGCTGATATGGACGCCAAACTCGTCTGACCGTGACGCTGATATGGACGCCAAACTTGTCTGACCGAGACGCTGATATGGACGCCAAACTCGTCTCGCCGAGACGCTGATATGGACGCCAAACTATGTTCAGAAATATTTAAACTGTCAGCTCTATACAACCGCTTCCTAAGATCAGTGGTTAAAATGACTTCGAGCGAATGAAGCCTGAGGGCTTTGCAGTGACCATCCTTCTATGAACATTGTGGACTGGCGCTACAGAATCACAAACAAATAACTGTATCAAATAACAGAAACCATTTCACTTGAGGACTACGAACAGCAGCAACAACTAAAATAGATAGCACATGTAACTCGAAGAGAAAATAATGACATCATCAAGCTGTTGACATTCCACACCATTTCAAATAAAAGGTTTGGAAGGAAATCCCGTCAATACTGAAAAGAGCAATAACAGCTACCGGACTTGAGAAACTTTTAAGAGAAAGATTTTATAAATTTCGACCTAAAGCAATACTGGTTGCTCGTCAATGAATGTTAAATATTTCCTTGTAAGGAAACGGTTAATATTACCATTAGTCTAATCATTGCTATTGTGCCTTGCCTGGGTTGGAGAACATTGTCATTTGAGCGTGGAAGATTGATACTGTGTGGTTACTGTATGTGTCACGTTTCTATTGGTGTTCGTAAAATCCCAGAATGAAAGTGGAGTCTGCCTTGACAAATGCGAATTATATACATATATATTTGAATATACTGATCTTGATGCAGACTATTTGGTGGTGATTGCTGATTGCAGTAAGATAACGAAATCCACTGTTGGTGGTCGGGGACTAAATTGGTTTCAGAAACATTCTTCTGATATCCAAATGCTCGCCAGATTTAAACCCCGTTGAACAATGCAGACCTCAATAAATTCGCGGAACCTACACCCATCAAACACATTTTACAGCCCAAGAATGTATATGGATAGGTATATACCCACAATAACTTCAGCTTCACATAGACTTCAAGAAACGTCGTGTAGCTTCCGTTATTAGGACAAAGATAAGAGCTACACATTATTAGATAGTTGCTTCTAAATTTTTTTAGTATATCAATTGATTTATAAAAGTATGAATTCTCATGTAAATAAATAATATAAATGATCAGTATATCTATCTATCTGGCCTATGATGTAACTACGGTTCACGTACGATCACCGAAGTTAAGCAATGATGAGCCTGGTCTGTACCTAGATGGGTGACTGCTTAGGAATACCAGCTTGGACATGCGGGTGGTGCAATGGATAACGGAAAAAAATTGGAAATCGGAGAGCAGAGTTCCAATTTCAGTCGGGTACGTTATATTCAATTACGCGCAACTACCCTTGGGAAAGGTATGAAGATTTTCTAAGCATACCTGGAGCACCCAGTGAGGATCGAACTCACTACTCAGTCGTAATTATTCTAGAGAGATAGGCTTGCTAATCATTACACCACGCCGAGGTGCCTTCCTTGGGAAAAGTATGAATTCATCTCTTCTCCCTCCGGCTATGGGTTAATTAGGAGGAGTTATATCAGTAAATCATTATTATGAACAACAATTCTTACAGTCTAAGAATATTTTCTGGCTTTAAATTACCTGAAAAAGTTTGAGGAGCCGTAAAACAAATATCTATCTATCGCGATTTTCTAAGCGTTGCTTAGATGAGGCACATAGCCGAAAGTATGGGGCACCTATAGTGATTTTCCAAGCGCAGATTAGATATGGCACAAGCCCGAAAGTAAGAGCACCCAGTGACGATCGAACTCACTACTCAGTGGTAATTGTTCTAGCATTACATCGCCTCGAGGTGCCCAAATCTATCTATCTATCTATCTATCTATCTATCTATCTATCTATCTATCTTTCACACGTCTACAGAAGTAGACTACACATATTATGACAATGTAAACACATGCTCAGTTGCATATGCACACATATCTGCATATATGTGAATGTGAGTAGGCTATGCCTTTTCATTTAACCTGCTTCGAATCCCATTATTCGCCTTTTGCTGCCATCTGCACATTTCATTACGTGAACAGCATCGTCACGATTGTAAATTTTCAGCTGCCTCCATCGTGCACTGTCCGCGCGCCCCCTATCCCCATCCCTTTTTCCTCCCTACCCCTCCCCTCAATGTCACTAGAGTTAATCAGGTCTTGACAACAGCGACAACAACAAGCATCCATCAAGAGAGAACAGATACCGGTTGAATTTGAAACACCTTGACAATAAAACCATATCGACTGGGTGCGGTTAGATGGAGACTGTAAACAAATAATATGTATGTAAGACCGTCAACAAAGCAGTTTCACAGAATGTAACATCATCAAAGGCAAAGTTGAAAAGGTAAGAAATTATATCTTTTATAATGTATTTCTACTTAATTTTAGGTGAATCTTTTTTTTTTATTAATCCATTCAAACTAAATCCGTCATGAAAAGAAATTAAACTATTTTTTGTGCGTTTCTTTCAGATTTAAATTTATATTTTGTTTTTCGTTATTTTCAACACATCATCACATAATAAATATAAAATGACATTTCAGGACTTGGGCTATCATGGCTCTCCATAGCTTTCTGTCATTTGTTACTGTTTTATTCTGCTATTCATTTACTTAAACACGTCAAGAAGTTTATTCACTGTTTCCGTCTGTTTATCTTGTATTCAATATGCCTTGTGAATGTTAGATTCTCTAAACCTACTCTCCTCTTCATAATTCACCAAATTCCTTTTTTTGTTTGTCTATCATTACAACTCATGGTTGACTAAAGCAAATGTTATTAAATTTTCTGTGGACATTAATGGCAGATCGAAGCATGGTTTCCGTGCAGTCGTTTTGAAAATTACCAAACTTTTTAAGATTGTACCATAGGGTTCAATTATAAATGTAAGTATAATGCTAAAATGGACCCTCACTTTTTGTCCGTCAGGCGAGCTAAACTAAAATAGACATCAAGCTAAACATTTCTGAGTCGAGCCAAAAACAAAATTAGGACCTTATTTCATCATTTTGTTTCCATATCAAGGGAAAATCAAAAGTTAAAAAAGTTGTGTTGACATTTGTAGTGCAATCAATGGCCTACAGGGGGCAGTAAATATTAATCTCTCGACAACGTTTGTTAAGTTTTCACAAAAACATAGTTCTTTACTATGGCTGTGTTTATTTAAATTTGGATAAATTTAGAGTAAAAATATTTTTCAAATTGTAGTTAAATAAAACGTATTCCAACCTGAACACCCCCCACAAAAAAACTCTTTAAATATACAAATAGAAAAAATGCCGTAAGAATTTTTGCCGTTAACAATAAAAATCTAAAAAAAAATCCAGACGACATGCATTTAACGGATGTCAGATTTCATTGAAGAATACATCCCTACCCCCTACCAAAACGTAACTAATAACGGATACATCAAAATACAGACATAATGAACACGCAAACACCCCTTGTCTAATGGAAGTGGATTTATCTGTAACCTTGGAAACGTGAATTATGATTTTAGCTGTGTCTTTAAAATCCAGTAATTTTAAAAGTTACTCCAAAATTCGCTTGAGGATGAAATGGAACTAATGTCTTTAATTTAATTACAAAATTAAATTCGGACCTTCCATTTTTGAAACATGGTTAGAACTGTGTAGCGGAAAAAACATATTTTAAATCAATTAATTTATAATATTTATGCCCTGTAAATTTACATTGAGCACTATTTTGTAAAAATAAAAATATCTATAAGAACACCGGATTATATATCTTACTGTTCTTTCTATATATATATATATATATATATATATATATATATATATATATAGATAGATAGATAGATAGATAGATACGAATAAAGACAAAAGGAAAACATCTTGGCGCTTTTCATCCTCTGAGTTCAGTTTTTAATCCTGTATCTGTTCCCGTCGCCTTAATTCTCTTGCCAGATGGAATAGCAATGTAAGAATACAGAACTGAACTACAGACTATCCACACAAAAGATTTGTTTAGAGTGGTGAGGGCTTGTGTAGAACCAGCCACACTTATTGCAAGTGCTGGTAACAAGGAATTGGTGCCAATATTTGCTACGAACACAATGAACAACACCCCTCCGGTTTTATTATCATGGAGTTATACCTCTCCGGTATTACCAGTGCACAGAAGAGTGCAGCGCCTTTCGATATTAGTTTCACGTGATTTAGCCTGTCTGCTGAAGCCGTTTACAGGGTTTGGCGTGCAGAGATTTAGGGGATGGCAGAACACCAGTGTTACCCGTCCATCTTAATAATTAGATCAGCAGCCGAGTAAAAAAGGTACTACTTCTACCCACTGCCACCTTACACGCATAGAACATACACTGGATGTCAGAGCAAATAGTTCATCATCAATGTGCAATATATTGCTATAAAGTATAAATTATTATAAAGTATAAGAGAAAATTTTATTATTATTATTTAAGAAATATTTAAAAAATAAAAAATAAAACAACTTGTCTAGTAGTAAAAACGAAACAAAATAACGTTATAACTGGGGATGCGTTTTCAATAAAATTGAAATTACGTTACTTTGCAATTTATAAATAAGAAAATGTAAAGAACTAAAATTCATACTAAATGTTGTAAAAAATCTTTGAATATAACTAATAATAGATTAAAAAATCGACGAAAATGAGCCACTAGTCAAATATAAACAAAATAAACATTACAAAAATGCTTTCCTCTAATTTCGAAAATTACAACCACTTTCGTAAAAAGAACAATAGATAAATAAATGTTACGTTTAGATATTAATAGATTAAAATTATTCATGCCACTATGTAATTAGTCTGATAAATACAATACATTAAATGTTCTTAATATATATAACTCTTAGCGAGAAATTTCACTTGCGAAACGACAATTGTTTTAAAATAAAAAAGAAAGAAAAAACAAGAAAAATCGTTGTATACCACAACTAAAGATAGACAATCATGTACAAAAACTATAAAATACGCATATTAAATACTGTTAAAGAATAACATAACTAAATACTATAATATAATAAACAAGAAAAATATAAGAATAATATATGATTAAAATAAAACAATATATATATATATAATATAATACAATATATATATATATATATATATATATATATATATATATATATATATAAAAGTGAACATAGAAGTCAACACTTAGAGGCGACAGTCAGTTTCATGCTAGATGCAATCGTCAGGCCACGAGTGCTGTTATTTTTCTCGGCTATTTATATATATACGGGTCTGTGGTGCATTGTGGATAGTCTATTTTGGTCACGATAAAAATCACCAGATAATGAAGAAAAAGTATACATAGGAGCAACTGAAGGACCCTGGAAACAAAGAAATTATGCACACAAAACATCTTTCGCAAATAGTAAATATGCGAACAGCACAATGCTTTCTAACTATATCTGGGAAATTAAAAATCAAAACGCACATCAGAACAAAAATATCTTGGAAAATAAGGAAAAGATCATCAGCCTATAACAACCAATCAAAAACTTGCAAACTTTGCTTGGAGGAAAAAATAGCTATCATTACTTTCCCAGACCAAAATAAATTATTAAATAAAAGATCCGAGTTCATCTCAAAATGCAGGCATGAAAACAAATTTTTACTACGTTCCTTAAAAATTCGAAAACGGAAAAAATAAAATAAAAATAAATAAATAAATAAACAAAATGACAATAAAATAAGCAAAATAAATTAACCCAAACAAATTACCAAATTACACCTGTTAGAAGAGACGAAATAGAATAAAAAAAAAGAAAAAATCAATGAACCCAAATAAATAAAGTAAATAATAAACAAATTAGCAAACCATTATGACCAAAATATTAGTTAGACTATAAAAATCAAACCAAAAATCGGACGAAAAAAAATAGCTATAACCGTTATATAACGATAAAAAAATACTACGTCACTTAAAAATCGAAAACCGAAAAGAGAAAATATACAGTATAACAAATAAATAATAACAAGTAAAATAAATTGACCTAAATTCATCCAAATAAATAAATAAACTAACAAACTGATCCTGATAAACTAACCGTTAGAAAAAACAAACAAAGATAATCAATCCAAATAATTACGTAAAGTAATAAACAAATTAAAAACTGTTCCCGCCAAAATAATAGTTAGAATAAACTACAGCAATCAACCCCAAAATTGAATAAATAGCTTTAATTATCTTCTTAAACCAAAACAAAACTATTAAGTAAGTGATA